CGAACCGTCGATTTCCCGCTTATATACGCCCACATGTTGAAGATGTAATTCAAGCATGGCACCCATGGCTAAAGCGGGATCTCTGCTAGATCTTCACTTTTTTTCGCAATTCCGAATTAACCACCCAAAAATTTCTCCGCAAGAATTCTAACCCAGCCGAAGAAAAATCAAAATTCCAACAGTCTTGACCACAAAAAACGTGTTAACGAAAAGCTCTGCCAACGTAGCCAGATAATGCCACCGAAAACACTGCCCTCTCAATTCTGAGGCAAAAGTACGGTTGGCTGGGTGTTTGAAAACGCATTCGTCCGCTCAATCGATTGCCTGATCGACCGCACGGGGTAGGCGATCCCCTTCAGCCCAGCTTTCAATCACCATTATATACTTTCCTTTTTGCTTTTGTGTTTTTATCTGATTCCCGGGTAATCTCATGGTCTTGGAGCTTCCACAAGGTCGGGTGACCAAAAATGTCAAGGGGTTGCGCCACTTGTCATATGAACAGCGCCTCAGATTGCTTGGCATTTTCGGTGGCCGTTATCGTCGTTTGCGTTGTGACCTAATCTTGGTTTACCAAATAATAAGACACTCATTACCACTGCCATCACTTATTGAAGCTGAGTGACAACAACAAACTGAGAGGTCATCATTTCAAAATGGCAGAACAATATGGACGGTTGTAGTGTCGAAGAAACTTCTTCTCGTTGCGTGTTTACCACACGTGGAACACCCTCACAGCTCTCAGTTCATCCTCCAAGTTATCCGTGTTCAACGCACGTGTCGATAGTGCACTGATCATATTACACCACATCACGTACTCCAAAAGACCCATACAAACAGCGAAAAACAAACCAACCTTCCTCCATTTTTGCTCGGAAACCAGAGAGGATAACCTTGGATAGTACGTAAATCCAACGGGAACGCTGTAATCGGCAAGTTCGCACTTTGTAGTTGGTCACTATTCCCTAATTTCATTCGTGTCTTTAATTTTCCCACCCCTAAGCGACCATAAGGCGGGACATGTCAAGCATCAGATTTTTTATCCGCAATATACCACTGACACTTATACCAATTAAACTGGAGCACGTTGTGGACTGACCACTCATACGCTCTGTCCATGTCTTGTTGGAGTGCACCGTGATCTCATTGGTCGGCGAGCGACCGCCACATCGGCGAAAAGCAAGAAATTCGAGGCAATCAGATGCGTAAGTTCACTAATAAACATGACAAACAGATGCGGCTCGAGATCCGATCATCGTGGAACTCCACACTCGATATAAATCCCATAATTGCCTCCGTCATCTTTGAGAGGACAGGAAGAACGCTGAGTGATATTTTGCCGGTTCAGAGCTATTAGCTCTTTTGAAAATTTGTGCGATTAGACCATGTTTCCCCAGGGTAGGCAACATTTGTTTATCCAAGCAAGTTGGAAGAAATGTGCTAATGGATAGGGAAGCATTTTTGTTATGTTCAGTGCCCTCGTGTGAATGGCATCGATCACAGGAGAAGTGTAAGTGCGCAGTTAGAGCAATTTGTGGTGGTAGACACAATGTTAGCAAGTATTGTAATTGGAACGACGAATGTGAGCGTGTAACAGTGGCAGGCGTATCGTTGGAAGGTCGGGGCACACTGCATTTGCTACTTCTTCAGAGAGGCGCGTAGTAATTGCGCTTCAAATAATATGCAGTTTGCTCCTCTCCACATTCAGTGTAGTCACCGTAAGGTCATACGAATCAGACTTACTAGCGCTATTCACTGAGCCATTATATATGGGATTAGCTTTCAGAATGCATGAATTCAGCAGTATTAGTCATTTTAAACGGCTCTTGCGCTTAAATCAGATCATTTGAGTTTATCGCTGTGAGCTTAATCCTCAGTTGTGTAACATCGTTCGACGCAGAACTAGTTAGGCCTTCCATCTATCCTAAGCTTGTTCCAATACGATGTTCCTCAATACTGCTGTATGGGAATTTTTGCTCTCTTAGTCCGTCTGTGTATTCATTTTCAGAAAAAGAACCCTGTCGAGATAGAGCGGACATCTATTGACCTGCCAGCCAACAAAGCGCGCTTGTTTACTTTAACAAGGATTGCAGTCGAATGACTGCGCACACACACGATGCATGAAGCATCCCAATATCATTATCAGCCTTAAAAATCGGACGGTTGATTGACTTTACAACATGCGCGAGATCAAAAGAGTGCACGTCATCAACGAAAATGACCTACCCGAAGGGTAAGTGTGACCCTGCCTGAGTCATCAAACTAGGACTAACGGGTTTTAACTTCCCTAAAGCATTTCACTCTAAATGTACAGGGGTAGGTCCACTAAAAACTAAACAGTACAGCAGCGAAGCGGAGGCGGTTTGGTTCTAACAAGTGTACAAATCCATCTTGGCTGTTTAACCGTTTTAATGAAATCATGCGAAAAATTTACGGAAGCAGTTGCTTAGCTAGTGAATGTCAGGGATAAAGGAAAATAAAGGAAGCTACGCTTGCATGACGATGATCAACCACAGATTCCTCATTCAGGCTAGAGAAGAGAGTCAGGCTTTCTAATCTCACTTCAGTTCTCAGTTCACAATGGTCCCAACACACTTCACTCCCCTAAGTGGACAAATCGCAAACAGCTTGCTTGTTTCTACGTCCTCTAAGGGTGTAGCAATCGGCAATTCAGTGGCCATACCTGAGATCAGAAACGACAGCCAGTCGACAGTAAAAGACAACTGGACCTCATACAGAACGGTTGCTGTCAGGCAAACGTCGGAAAAGACATCCATTACACTTACCGGATTTTGTAAAACTAGGATGTCGCAGCATGGAGTGCCATCACGAGTGCCGCTCACAAATCAACAGAAAGCAAAACAACCTAGCACTTTTAAGCAGATTACCACCAGGCGCAATTATGGTGCCTTAAGTCTTGTGTGCAATAATGTTCCTGAATCAAGATCTGATAAAATAAAGGACAAACTGATAGACGATCGTAATCATTGGGACTACATCGGTAATGCCAGCGGTATCCTTCCTAATTTCACTACACCGAAACGTATCGCCCAACAGTGTACTACGATGAGCCTTGATTAGCACTAAATTCCGCGAATGAGACAAAGACCATTCTGCTGTGTGGGAAGCAACTACACAATGCATCTAAGGAAGGGGGCTGCAGTGAGGGGTATGAGAGTATGGTACACAAACTGCTATGGCGTCGAGAAGAAGTATGAGGAGTTGACGTTGTCTTGCAGGTTCGCCCATGTTATCGCTTTGACTGAAACATGGTTCTTTTTAACTGATGAAGTTAGTAACTTGCTAGTTGATTTCTCTAGTCATAGAGTGAATCGACCGGAACAACAGATTGGTGGAGAGAGTTTTAAACACAAATATCTGTAACTATCGGCTAAGGTAATGTGATCAGGTGTGTGAAAATCGTGAAGGAATCCGAGAGGAACGATAACCAAAAGGAGTTAGTCAACCGGCCAATGCAGACGAAGTAAGTACACCGAGAAGTTCACTTAGGAAGTGTTTCTTGGATTTGGTGCTCTAAAAGCCAAAAGTGAATTTTCGACACCTGTGAAAATCAAGGATCGAAAAGCCGTGGGAGAGTAAGCATACAAACATCTATCCTCAGCATCGACGGTGTAATTCACAAACACAAGAGGGGATAAAAGAAACAGCGGGGTGAAAGCACCAATCCTCCTTTACTTAAGGTTTTATTGATCCGAAATAGTGAGATCTCAAAACAAATGATGATTTAAACTGCGATTGCGTGTCACATAACCATATGTGAACGTTTAATCTCCACTATTGATGGAGCTGAAGAGCCTAGTGACAAAGGTTCAGAAACGCAGGCCAGAGTGGAAACTCTTTTATCTGATAGATAAATAAAGGGAGGAAATTCAATATGGAGTGCTCTCAAGAAAGAGAGGAAGTCGTCAGCAGTACGCCGGTATACTGTACCGACGCTTTGCTGCCACGCGACCACCACCACCGGTTGCGCGCGAGCTGTGTATACCGCTAGGGTGTCCGCCCCTACTCGGATCCGAACCAGTGACCTAATAATTGTAAGCCAGGCGCGCAACCCTTTCGGCTACCGGCCGACTTGGAGTGCCCTAATGGGAGTGTGTAGCAGAAACTGTCCACATTCAGTGAAAACGTTTTGTGTGTTAAGGCGCGATAACAGCACATGCAGAAGCATCGGGTACGCAGCTGGTTACGTAAATTTTAATACAGGATATTTAAGTTCCATGTTGGCTGTGCTAGGGCTTGCGAATCTGAAAATCTGCACGTTGATCCTATCTGGGCCCGTGACCTTGTTTCGAATGGTCGAACCCATAGTGCTCAGAGAAAAGAAAAAGTGGTTCAGTGAATAGGTCTATCTATTCGAACAGACCAGTGTGACTTTTTAGTCGAGGTTGCATACATCTCGAAGTAGTTTAACAAAAGATCAAGTAGATATCTCATAAGCCAGCCGTTAAGAAAGTTCAATAGGTATCATATTAAGGAAGAATGCAACCCAAGTGTGAAAACGGTATACAGCGTGTCGATAAGGTGTGCAATACATAAATCTGTCATCAATACACACATAACAAAATGATATGTTGACACAGGCAGAAGAATGAGAAAATAAAGCTGGGAGATCAAATCTCACAGGGTGATAAGTGCATGCAGTCAGTGATAGGAGGGCAAAAGTATGGAACTAGAGCAAGGACTAGAAGCAGTAAATGAGTTGGATGATGATAAGACATGTAAAAGCAAAAGTACCCTAGAGAGAAAAGTAACACCAGCCAGACAGGCGGAGCGGAAAAATAAGGAATGAGTCAAAAGGGGAAATATTGACTACATGAGTTAAATGCAAGGATGAAAGCCGAAAACGGGCTAACAGCAAAGGCGAAGGGTGTGGAAAATGAAGGGCAAAAGATCACAGCAGCTGCTAAATCGTCAGCGACGACAAAGCGCAAGGGAAAATATACAAGATGAAAGAAGTATGACAGTAGCATCACGTCAGTCTGTCACAACAGAGTGGAATGAAGTGATACAAATGGGCCACAAGGACTGGCAGTCTTTTCTCGCGGAGCAGTCCCAAGCGAGCCGCATGCGTCGGGCAACCGCAGATTGGGACTCTTCGAGCACTGTAATCTCAATTCCGAAGAGTCGGGTAGAGATCGATTTCTGCTGAAAGCCAGAATGTTCGGTCTGTCCAAACTGCGCATGGCGGGGCTCCGGTGCAACATACGACGGGGAGTGTGAGTTTTGTAACCATTACAAGGACGAAATCCGTTTGAAGAGGTCTGCCCTAGTGATCGTTTGTCCTAAGATAATGGAGAGATGTAAAATGGACCATTCGTTAAAGAAAGGCAAATGTCAAGTGACCAAAGCAAGTAGTTTAAGTTTGGAAGCAACGACCGGAAACTGAGATTAGATTCGGGATGCCGAGATGAATTGGCCGGTATATGGAAGTGACCAGAGAAACTTCACAAGATGCAGACAAATCCAAAATGTAATGGTAAGAAGCGTATGTGCGATGATTGTCCTAAAGAAAGGCATGATTGGTCACAAGCCACGAATTCCTTTACATGCAAGGACCAGGGTGCGATGCGACGAAGCACGAAGCTGCCCTTCGTACATGGCAATGAACGACTATAAACAATCAAATTTTGCTACAGCTGTTGGACAAGCAGTACATACAAGACTATAAGCTGAAGAAAAAATCGTCAGCTCACGCGAAAAGGTAATGCCCTGTGAGCGGGTGCCGAACTCCGGAGAATGTGGTTAGACACAGTTCGATGAGGTTTTGTACTACACGTAGCACACTACGCACGTCTATGAAACTTGAGGGGTTAAAAGGGTGGTAGTTGAATCGTGGAGCAATCCAATCAGAAGTAATACACAGGCAGGGAAGTAAGACGCGGCTCGGGTCCAGAATTCAACACAATAAACAGCACAAATGTAGAGGCATCAGCAGTACGCCGTACAGAGGCTTCGCTGCTACGAAATTACCACCAGTCGCGCGTAGGTTAAGGATACTGCGAGGTTTGTCCGGTCCCCTACGCAGGCTCGAACCCGTGAGATCCTTTCGGCGACGGGCCGACAGATGCATGGAGTCACGATCTGATCGGAGGTTCTCTCGTGAAAAAATGACTGGGTTAGCCAAGACCGATTCATAAATCAGAATAAAAAAGAACAAAAAGAGAAACGTTTCACTGGGTCAGGATACAAAAAGGCCTTGATTGTAACAAAATGAGTAGATGACACAGTTAAACGGATAGGAGTGAGAGCCCGTTACTTTACAGACTAAATGGGAATAACTATTACCGGATTAAAATTATAAAGCGAAACTGGAGGATGCGAGTCACGTTTGTGCCAACCGTCAGTGGGCACTAGAGTAAGACTATCTTCATCTTTCTGGACTCTGGCGTCGGACGGACACTCAGCACTGGAATCGGAATCACTGCTCGATCCTGAAGAAATGAGGGGTTCCTTGGCCTCGTGCGCAGCAAAGGGATGCGTGGCGCCACATAGAACGTTCCCTCCCGTAAGATTTCGCGGAGTCTGAGGAAACTGGTAGTCGGATGAATAAAAATCATCGTGATTTCGATCACCGGGAATGCTGGAGTGTGGAATATGGGGTGTTCGATTCAGGTAACCATCTTGCGTAGCCTGGAAACGAATATAGTGGAAAGGGTTTGTATTAGGGATGCTGGGACAGACAAGTTAAGCTTCCGAAACATTAAAATTGACATAAACCTGTTGGATGGAGGTGCCAGTGAAAAAAGCACCGGGACGGATGAGTATATCACCCGATGAACTTCGAGTCACTTCATTAACTATCTGTTGTTACAAATAAGAAGGTATAATTAAATTCAAGGTCTTGTAAAGTAAGACAGTAAATGCATTCTGAAACCAAACAAAGGAAATTGCGGATAATCTCGGAAAGAATCAAGCCCAGTCTCAATACTGTTTTAAACAGGTTCGTAAAGCACATTGTCATAGGGTTTGCATGTGACTGGGGCTGCGGAGAACGCAACACAACTGGACTCAGTTAGATTGTTGTGAACGTCCGCAAAAGTAAAGGAGGGCTACTAGTTCATTGCGAGTTTAAAATCGTGACCCAATGTTGTAGACGGAGGCATTTGCCCCGGGAAATCGTGGATACATGCAGCTGGCGTGGTTGCATAGCTGGTTACCGTATAACGTCGTCAATCCATTACGGCTGCAAACACGACAGGATGATCTCCCTAGCCTCGAAATCTTTGGAGGGCACGGGCATTGCATAGTACCTTTCTGGACGCCAGTGGTTGCGCGACTTGATTTGATCGCAAGAAATCGAGGGGTTAGACTTCTGATACTAACAATGAACCCGTTGCTGTTTCTTCCTGGAGAACCATTATTTTACCCAATGTACTGCGGATTGATCAATTATGTCATGCTGAGCTCGCATTTTTGTTCGTCTGGATCATTCTAAGGCCATCGATGTTATTTGATATCGCCGACTTTTGAAATTGTTTCGGAACGCTGACGAAGCGCGCCTTGTCGCATGCGGTCACAAAGTCAGGAACATCATCAATGGAATATTAAAACAACGCTTTGGTAAAATGAGAAAGCACCGTGCTGGGTGGGGAGCTGAAATCCCACACAAATTTCGCTAAATCTCTCGAGTCATGTGCGCTCTCCACTTGCTAAAATTACCGACCTGATTGCCACTATTCAGCGTAAGGAATATGCAAACACAGGCATTAAAAAGCTACAATAAAGCTGATTACATATTGGTGGAAAATGAGGTTATTCGACTCGATGGATGCCACGTCGTGAGGTCCGTCCGCCCTGAAAAGTCGCAGAATCGCGGAGGCGTTACCATCTATGTCAACCAGATATGGTGTAATTCGATCATCTTGCTGTGTACATACTCAACATCAAAGATTAGCTGTCGTGTAATCAAGTAAAAACCAAAATTTCTGAGTGGATTTTTTCCGTCGGCATCGAAAACATCTACATAACTTTCAACGAATCACGGGCAATGCCGATTTTCATGAAAGTAAATATTCCCATGGCATTCAGATGAATCAATCAGTGTTACGTAAACGTTTGGGTCTGAAGAGAGCTTACCGAAAAGAGTTCTTAACCCTGAACTGATTTCTGGTCGTGATTCATCTACATCACCCCCGACACACCATGGACTGAGCTCAAAATCCCGCGGATCATTTCTCACCAGCGTTACTGCCTAAAACGGTGTGCTCTGTCTGTATCGTTGTTGGTGACTAATAAAAGTGGTACGACGTTCAACAAGACACGGTCTAAAATATACAGCATCTTTCGGAACTAGACTTGACACAGGTTAGATTTTGTTTCGACAAAGAAAACTCAGTTGGTTCCTACATCAAAGCGTGCTCGTTTCGGCAAATCAGACCACTGCGTCCTGGAGATTTGCCGTCATTTACAGCAAGATTGCGTGACAGAAAACAGCGCAAGATGCCACGCGATGCTGGCTTCAACTGACGTTTCAGCTATCACGGACGAAAATCTACCTACCGATTATATCAACTGTTCTCAGCTATGCTGCCCTGTTGAAACTAGCTACCTTCGCATGGACAGATTCTCTTCTCCACTAGTGAAGCAACTTAGAGGTGAGAAAAAAGTGGCATATAAATTCAAAATTTTCACTTAGGTTAAACGACTATCATTGGCAATAAAATAATAGATAATGCGATTGGGTCATTTGTACATTGAAACTGTGTTAGGCAATTAAGATCATCGCGATCTATGGAGGCTTTTAAAGTGGATGTGTGGCAAAGGTTCGCTAGAGCGTCTTGATAAGGTGGATGTGAAAGACTCAACGTTGAGTTTTGTTCTTCTTCACAGGGTATTACCTGCTCCATTTCACCAACATCAGTACTACAGTCACTCTTGCTCGCCTCGATGTTTATACGGAATTCAAAGGATTGAAGATAACTATGACTGCTGGACCTGATGCTTTATCCTAACTCGCTCAAAAAAGTGTGCGCATTGTCTCGCAGGACTTTTAGGCACTCTGTTCAACCTGTGCCTTATGAATGGCACAATCCCTGACATTTGAAAACCTGTAAGAATAACGCTTGCGCCCAAGAAGGACTGTCAAAGCTATCGTCCGATTGTATGGACGTCAGTGATGTTGAAGATCTTCGAGAAACTACTTGCGCACTAGATTTTCAAAAGCATTCAGGCAGACAACATGTATCAGTTAGGCTATAAACCCAAACGTTTCACACTGGGTGCTTTGTCGAATAGTGTGCATCCGCTATAATCTGCACTAGATGATAAACGCAGAGCAGTGTGCCTGCTGATTCTTGATTATTCAAATGCTTTCGGGGGCGGCAACAGAGCACTCATGCTCAACCAGCTACTCATGACTGGGGTTCGTAATAATGTCTATCGGGCGGTTACAGATTACTTTACAAACCGTGCCTATATCACCCAGACTAACGGAACAAAGTCATCTACGCATTGCTCCAATCGCGGTTTTACAAAAAGCTATTCTCTCCCCCTCTGTTTACTTTATATACCGAAAGAATTCCTATACTGTCCAACTGTACTGCATGCAAGTCTGAATATTATGTCATTATGGGACATCTATTCTTCAAAGTCGTCTAGATGAGCTTGTGATCATGGTCCCGGTCTGTCATGATGAACACTTTATAGGTGGTGATGTAATCTCTTTTCTTTGGGTTGACAAGCTAGAAGCTGTTTCGAATGTTACTTCTTCACTGGCAGTGAGTGATCAGCTCGTACTCAGAACATCAACTGTTAAATTTCTTGGAGTCTTCTTATCCTAAAGCCTTTCTTGGTACACCCATGTGGCCGAAACGTTGCACAAGGTTAGAAGACTATCCTTTCATGCCCATTAGACTCAAGATGCCTTCGGTACCTCGTGATTTAATCCTTAAATGTGTGACTGCATAGATTCTACCACACTGGCTTTACTGTTCGCCGGTAATATTTCCTGGGCTACTAAAGAAAAATTAGATATTTTTGTAGAAAGCAGAAGTAACGATTAAAATTCACGCACAATAATATGCCTCGACGGGGAATCGAACTCCGGTCCACGAATTTCCGGCCTGCTGCTCTACCACTGAGCTACCGAGGGCTGACGATTAGGTGCGCAAATTTTAATACATGACTTCTGCTTGGTGCGCGACGTATTGCCAATGAGCTCACAGTACCTGTCCTGGTGTTGCAGATTGACTCACTCACCCGTCACTTCCCAATGGATCGAAGTACCTGTTCTTCGGATGTCCAATGGGCGAAGGTAGATTAATTAATCTAGATTAATCTAGATTCGCATTTTGTATTGGACACATTTGCTTTTATCCATGAAATGCATGTATTCCCCCCCCCCATTCGCAGTGACAGTACAAATGCTGAAAATATATCTACCGATGTATAAAGCCTGCTTTGACTTGTCTTGAGTAAAAGATGTACATCTAGGCTACGTGTTATGTTACCAGGGGCATCAAGTGGGGGATGACACCAATGTGCTAGCGAAATCAAACGGGAAAAGTCACAATTCCGACTGTGCCAAAGAGACAGAATACTGTTCCTATGATGTCAAACAGTATTAACATTTGATTGAAATACATTTCGAGGAAAAACACCGCCATAGCAGCATCACAAATGCTATATTTTGTTAGAAAGTCTACGAAGAACTAGTCACTTAAACAAACTGAATGCGCAGATAGCGAGTAGGAACAATGTACTTTTATGTGAAAAGAACTTCCCAATAAATTCTCAGTTTTTAGATAATCGGTTCAGGGGAAAGATACCACTCTTGTACGCTTACAACACGACCAGGGAATTAGTTAGTGCTCAGGCCCTGATGTACTTCCGTAGTTTAGCCACCAAGTGCAGTGAAGAATCCACACCAGAAATCACTTTGCCGAGCTCGTACCGGATTCAGCACAACACTCCAGGAACAAAATCATTCTCTTACAGTGAAAAGTCACAAGCATCCGGATTTAAATGCCACCAAGGCGGAATTGCTTTCAATAAAATGAAATCGCTTCGTACAAGCCAGTAGGTTCAATATAGGATACAGTGAGGAGCAACGAAGTTGGACCTTAACGTGGTGCGACGGTTTGCGTACCTCGTCGACCCAGTGAGCTATACTGCATGTGGTCCCTGAGCTCCTTGAGAGCTACTCCTACCACGTTGGTCAATGGTTAGTGGCCAAACGGACTCATTCGCCTAGTCCTCCAGGTTGGGGGTTTAACATGGAAAGCGTCCAATTATGTAAAAGCGAATCGCTTCCACAACTGCTGTCTTGCGAAGAGGTTTTTGTTGAGGACCCTAATCGTTCTCCTGTCTAGGTCTCGACGCCCTGGCAGTATTTCACCCCACGTGCAACGGTCACTACTTCCGCAAACTTCAACCACATCCTGCACTGGTCGTCCCGCAGACTAACAAGGGTCACCTTATCTGCTACATACAGCACAGCGGATAAGTGAAAAGATGATACTGCTGACGCCTCCTTTCTTTTTCAACCGTTTCTCATCCTCCACTCCCAATACACATTACTAGCCTTACTTCTTAAATTCTCAGTTTAATTGACAGCAGCCGTAATGCTGCTGCAGTGAAGTCAGCAGCTATCTTCCTGCCCCACCCACTGGAAACCAAGCGTCAACAGCTCCTTATAAGGCAACATTGTCCCGTTTCCCTGGCGGCGTTTAACGTTTGCACTATAAGAGAAAGGTAACCAGCCTGCACTCGCACGCATGATGGACAAGCTGGATATAGACGTGTGTTGCGCATCAGAAAATAGGATCAAAGACTCTCACGGGATTGTTGAATTAACTGCGCCTATCTTGTCCACGCCCTCTAATTTACACATATGACAGACTTTGGAGATAGAAAATCACTCTTACTTGTATAACGTTAATTATCTAGGGTTTTAGGTATAGTTACATAATGATTGCGCAACTGGGCCGAGTAACAATCAGGTTGGCACTAGTGCGATGGATGCGGTTACTATGGCTTGCAGTGTCGGGATAATAATGATAAATGACAAAAGAGAAAATGCGACAAATTGATGGAGGATGGACCCGGAAAAAGGTAAAGAGACAATAATGAGATCGAAAGATAAACAATCAAGATGACGGCCGCATACAGGAGCTCCAATAACAGCGTGCGATCGTGCCATAATGGAGAGGGCGTGGTGCACCAAGATTATGTATCGCTGCGACATGACCTGATAATAAAGATATAACGGGCAAACCGGGCAACAACGGATCGAGCCATCGCCCTAACACGGGAACGATCGGAGGCAGTAAATGGATGTGTGCGAAGAAATGCAGAAACATAGCTTAACAAATACTTCGTATTAGAGCGCATAAGGTAATAGCACGGAAGAGATTAGTAGTCAAGTTAAGTCAAAATAAGCATTGTGTACCCTAATGGGTTCATTTTTAGCATTTACACCACCAGTGAGGACATCTGGATAATAATATCAATATACATGCTGTGGTAGAAAAGTGGGAAAAAAGCAGAACTGTTACTCCAACAAGCGCTCGCGCAGTATGCTAGTGACTTTTCCTGTGTCAACAAGCAAACGTGAGAGATAAGACAAACCAGTCTTCCGATACGATGACGTGCGGGAGAATAAAATTCTGATTTTCGAATGAGTAGAAGAGAAAGAGAGCGTTATGGAAAGATCATTGTGGATGAAGTCGGTCAGTTAGTATCTTAGAAGACAAATCATTGCAGGCACCAAGGTGGCTAGAAATAATCAAAGCAACTAAAGAACCTCTAGACAAGCCGTTGCATCTAGCAATGTGCTTTATAGACCGCACCAATAAGATGCAGTGTTTCTGAAGCAGTCCAGGGAAAATGACAGCAGAGCAGTATAGCCAATGCGGGATAATACAAGAGGCCACAAACATTAATAGTAAAGTATAAGGTACTGAAAGTACCTCAAGTCTGAGGGCATAAAAAGAAAGTCTTCTGACTTCACCTCTCTGGCTGAAAACGCTCTTACCACAGAGCTGCCTCAGAAGCCCCCATAGATCGCGACAGTTATGGTTGCCTAGAACTGCTTCGACATATAAATGGTTTAGTCTTTTCATCTCGGATTTGATTGCCGTGGTTAGACTTTTGACACGGGTAGCATTCTTGCACTTGTAGGCCCATTCTTTCATTCTTCGAAGTCGCTTTAGTAGTGCTATCTGCTCTTAGATAGATCGTTTCAACAGGGCAACACATGTCAAAGCAATATTTGATGTAGTCCGTAAGATGGTCACATTCGAGCGACAGGTCCTCGTTGTTGAAGAACGAAAAATCAGTTAATGGAAACATCGTCTGGAGCCTCGTGATATTTTCCAAAGAGCAATTTCGCCGTTTTATAATCTTGTAAGGACGTCCGGTCAGCACTAAAAAATTAGATCTGCTGTATATGACTGAACACAGTTTTAAAATACCATTGTCTGAGCTGTACAGAGGAGCCCGCTTTTGTATGGCAAACAACTGTAGTTTATTTGTGAACACAGCGTCCAACTGGGCATCCTGTCTGGTCGAAACAGTTCCTAGGTCTACCAAGCCATGTCTTCAAGAATGTTGTATCCTTTTTATTGAAGTCGCCGGCGACAATACAGATAGCACAATCTAACCTAAGCAGTAGCGTTGAAGAAAGTTGGTCTTCAAAAAGTTTCAACTCCGATGTAGATGTGTCAAGAGCAATGTATACGTTTCCAACGATGACTGATCGAAAGTCACTTAGGAACTTCGGTTTGCACTCAATTAAATGGCAGCTTATAGAAAATGTTGAGTACGTAAATATTATGATTGTTGCATTGCACGAACGATGATTAACATAAGATATAACGCTACCACCACGAAACTGGGGCTTCCCAAGGCGGTCAGACCTGATGGGAAAATAATCATCGAGTTGAATCATCCCATTGTCCACATCAGTATGCAACCAGCATCCTTGTAAGTGATTCTTGTAGTAATATAATCATTTCGCTGCATAATGGCATTGAGATCATTGATTTTACCAAGCAGGAAGCGAACATTACTGTGAAGTATCAGTGGGACTTGCACTTTGTCGACAGAATAACGACTGAGACCAAACTGCCAGTCAGCACAATGCTTGTGCTCTTTTCCAAGACACCTATTCGTAGTACGTTTACAAGAGTTCCTGACTTTATGGCCGTATTCGATAAGGAACGGATTTAAGGCAGTAACACGTAACGTTTTCAAATTATTGACAAAGTAGGGCAGCATTGATCTTGAGACCTGATCAGAAAAAAAAACAAATTGCTTCAAAGTTTAAAATAAAATAAAAAAAATCCGCAGTCTGTGGTGTAAAATAATCCAACGAGAACAGCAACGGCTGAATTCGAAGGCCCCGCCGTGAGCGTCTCATCTAGTGCAGATGATGGATGCTCGTTACCAAAATAAACAACTCTCTGTACCTATCAGGTTCGTGCAATGAGTCGCTAATCACGAATATGGTTGTAGTTGGCTACCGTCCCGAAAGACAGCATATACCTGTGAGAAGTGTTTGGGGGTAATGGCAATAAGGCTGATGTCTCAATGGTTTCCACACAAGTTTCTGTGACAATAGAATGGTGATCAGGGTGGACAACCGCGTCTGACAGCACCCAACAGCAAAGGCAGAGGAAGGTCGCCAGGTCCAGAAGAATCGTTTCATTTCAACAGGAGTTCATATCGTGTCTTCTCTCAGATGGGAGGTGAAACATCAAACTCCCATGGGTACAGGCGATTTTAGCAAACCGTAGTGTAGCAATAGGCTGCTTCCCAAAATGCTCCATAACGTGATTGAGACTAACCTAACTGCGCATATATTTCAGTCTTTGTCTCACTATTGGATGGTTTTTAGAAAAACGCGCTCCGAATGAGCTGAAACAATACACAACCGATTTCAATGGTACTGGCATTCTCGCCAGCTGTTTGCCATGTGGTCAAGATGTCCGGTCCATAATCCACGGGTTGCCGGCTCGAGCATGCGTAGGTGCAGACGACATCGGAGTACCCTAAAACCGCATGCGACTGCTGGTGGTCACGTGAGAGCGCATCGTCGGCACGAGGCGCCGGAGTACTGCTAATGTATTTTAATATCGGTTTCCACCCACCAACACTGCTTGTAAGAGGCCATTCAGGGTACTATGGACAGACTGGAACAGAGCACGCAACCACAAGTTTAAAAAGCTCAATTAGACGGATTGACGTTTCATAAAAGAACCAAAAAGTTCAAGAGGGATGACTTAATAGGAGATCAACGGTCCAAAGGGTTCCACTCAGAAACCACTAGGAATCCAAATAAATCATCCGCAACGTCATAACGATTCGTAACACACTACATTACTCGGTTGTTCTCAAAACACTCCACACACCCACACACGACTGCAAACTACGAGTTGAATTTTGGCGACATTAAAAACGATTGATGCTGTTAGATAGGGGGGGATAAATTCAACTAAGTCAGCTCAGTGAATGAATGAGCAAAAGGGATAGATCCTGTATTAGATGGGTGTTCATGGCACGGATATAGCTGGTTGAGAAGTAAGCAAGCTGGCAGAGCCGCACCAGTTTTTCGTAATACACCTGGAGTGCCGTGATAAAATCGTTGAACAAGTGGGTGTGGTCCGGAGTGATCGGAGCTACGTGAAGCAGAGTTGGATCCCATCCGGAGACAACTCGTGCAAACTCCTGGGGCGACAGGTGGACAGAGTAATAAGTGTTGTGCAAAAGATACAAACGACCTCACTTTGTAGGTGACACAGTGAGTGTGTGGTGAACTGTACTAATCATAACTGCTTTGTATTAGCTGAAGTGTTTCGTCGCTGCGGGTCCTGATGGTGCACGAAACAATGGCAAAAATCTGAAGGTAGGTAAGATATTCAGAACTGGATTCAATGCTGCTAAGGGGAACGAACGTCAGTGAGACCTGCATATGTGAAAATCGCTATTGTGGTCAAAAGGGTCGTAAATTGTGTTCGAGGAAGGCCACAAATAAATCAATTTAGAGTATAGGGTCAAATGAAAACCTAAGCTGACTTACCTTCCAGTAAGCATCGCGTGAGTGCGCAACAGGATTGTACGGGGTCGGCGATAGTGACGGATGTGAGCACGCCTTATGCGGGCACGGGAAATCACGCGTGGGAGACACACGCAATTGTGATTTTGGGTTAGCTTCTGTGCACAGCTGAGAAGAACTTGAGAAAGGTGCATTCGCAAACCCTCCATTTCGATCAACAAAGACAGAAGCTTGTATTTCGGCTTCAGTGTGTGCATCCATTTCGAGTAGCCGGGACTGAGAATTGATGGTGCAACCTGTTCCGCATCCAAAGCGTGAGCAACAAGTGCAATTGTATTGCAAAGGGCCTTCTGAGAGTGTATCAATACTGGAATGATGATGACCCAACGCACAAGGTGAGTGACCAGAGGGTTGTGAATCGGGATGACGGGGACATTCGTGCAGTATGGCGGAAGGGTTGGGACAGACTGGTCCGCGACTTTCAAACGGCACTAATGTATGTGTGCAACACCTGCAACAATGATAATAATGACAGCGCGGAACCTGATGCAGTAAACAAGGACAACGAGCATTGCATCGGATAGCGTTGGAGTATTTTGTTCGTTGACCACATTCGCCGGACATGACAGGTCTGCGGCCGCTTCCGGCAAGCATGCCGAGAAAGGGTGAGTGTGGATCCTAAAGAGAAAGGGACTCGTAAAATCTCGTGCATTGTTCTACATAAATGACAGTGAACAAAATATCATAAGGACCGAGAACTAATGTCTGGTTCAACAAAACGGTCGTAAGAGGCGAGTTTTCCGCGGAGGACGGTGAGAAAATTGGGAATATAGGTTGGACCGATAATTCGAAATAGAAGCTTTCAGCTTTGAAGTAAAAGCTCAAAAGATGTCATCTGATGCTGTAGAAGATGGAATTTATTTTATACGCGTGGCTGCGCAGCGCTAACGTGGATGCTGGATGGAGTTGTTCAATACACAAGGCGATCTCCTCTTTAGACTTCGGACGAGTATTTAGGAAAGGAGCGCGTTCACAATCAGAAACGAATATAATTTGGAGGATCTGATAAATAGTGAAGCTGAAAACCAGGAAAAACAGAAAAATTTTCCCCGCAAAGTTCGGCAACAGCCGCTTAAACAACAACCTGAGATACACGAGAAAGTCGGGTTAGTTGGAAAGTTGATGTAGTTGCTCACTTTGCGCTCGTAGGACACAACTTTGTGGGACGCTAAAACTAATGGTACTGAGCTAACTAGTAACGAAGATAACTAGAAAGATGAGCAAGGGTGCAATTTGAAGGGATACACTCAGACGAAGTGCATCAGCGTAGTGATTTCAGGGGAGAAATGGTCACTGCTACGAATACTCAGCAAAAGTGGTAATCCAGCTGAAATGGGAATGCATTTATGAAACAAAGGAAAGCATATACCTATAATGATGATGTTACCGCTTTCTGAAACGTCGATGAACCTACATCTTGGTTCCGAGTACGCAACCATCCCATTCAATAAAAACTAATAATTTTCGACCAAATAGTAACAGCCAAGAATGAGAACACCCTGAGTTGAGCAAGAAAACTGACAATTATGCCAAGTGCCTCATACTAATTAGCGTTCTGTAGCCCCACCAAGCAGCCAGTTGGAAGTGTAAGAATACGAGCATGACATTCACATAAAAGAGGATGGTGAACGTTTAATGATGCCAACAGACGAAGCATGAACAAGGAAGATCACCTTGTACGACTTATCCAATTCCATGCGGTGAAAATTAGAAAGCAGAGGAAAGTAAGCGAATATCCCGCGGAGAACCCCGAGTAAAGCGCCCACAGAATGTTGGCTTATGTAAGCGGAGTATTTGTCCAGGTACTACAATAAAGACCCCGAGGAGTTTGTGTGGAGACCCGACTAGCTGACGTGAACGGACCTGCAGATGCCCAGTGAGCTGTGCATCCGGGTATAGAGGGCAAGTGTTGCGTTTGACAAGCTGGAAAATAAGGTCTGAAAGTATCCTCAACTGACGTTTTGGACTAAGCTGAAGGTGTACAAGTCGACGGAGCTGTCATTTATTCTTTACGGCAGCGAAATATAGACTCTATACAAGGATGATATCACATATTTGCAGTGCCTTCAACAAAAGTGTCAACGTCGGATCCTGGAGCAAGTATTGGTTTGACAGAGTTCCTGATACAGTAGTGCTCCATCGAAGTAGCAAGTATGCAGTGGATTGCATAAACCTGCTGCGGGAGCTGAGGTGGCGCGGACATACTCGTAGTATGGATTCGACGACGATGCTGGAACACCTGTCATATGGTCAACTAAATAGCGAAAAGCGGACATGATCATGGTTAGTTTACCACGAACTAATATTGATTTCAGGTGTGGGAAATCAAAGGCAACTACTCAGTGCGAGTGGCGAGAGCTTATCAAGAGAGCGGTCACCCAGGTGTAGGAAAAATCATCATTGCATTAGGTTGAGGAAGCGACAGGCGCCAAGGGAGTCCGTCCCATCGACGTCAAGCACATGGCACTGAAGGACAACGGTCGCGAGGACCTCAGCCAAGCCAGCGTGGTCACGTGGAACCAACATATAAGAGAAGATGAGTTAGCTGAACTGACAATCATTATAAGCGCAGTGCTTGGAAAGTAGGTTGCTTCCCATTCAAACACCTTTAATAACGCAGGCCAATAATGCGGCTGACGTGGTACATGTGCTACACATCATCGCTGCAGTTGGTCTGCAAGTGGGCCTGTGAGTTGATGTTCGTGCATTCCAGATGTTGGCTGTTGAATGATATTTCCGGTTTCGCTGCGCTTGATGTGAATGGCTTACAAGGCAGTGTAACAATGCACGCAAGTTTGCGTTAAATCCAGATGTCAAAAACACTACTCTTAAAAAGAAAATGGCAAAATGGCGTGCGAAAAAGAGAAAAATTGTTGACGTTCTTTGTTTGTTTCTGGCATTGGTATTTTATTACTTGATTCATAATATTATGGTTTTGAATAGATCTATGTTCCTCCCTACAGACTGACATCCATATATGGTTGGCAGCATCCGGCTCCGGATGTGTGTCACTGCGGCTTCCATAGGACAGCCATAGGACGACTGCGCCTACAGAGGGACTATGGCTGCACCACTCACAGCTCCATCCACATATCCCATATCGAGGGTAAAGTCGAAGGAATAAAACCGGGAGGCATGCGGATGGGAGCCAAGTTCTATCAACGAAGCCAGCTCACACTCCTTCAATAAAGCGCGTAGCAAGTGTTGGCATGCGCAACATGTGGCCCAACCATCAGAGCCTAGTGCGTAAAATAACGGTGTTAAGCGGTTTACTCGCTCTTCCTGCACCACATACACGACCCCAAACACGCTCATTGCTCATGCGGTGTTCCCACTAGACATGAGCTAGGCTGCGAAGGCAGCGATGGTCGAACGCAACTAGCCTCTGTCGATCTGATAGGCCAGGATCCGTAACCGCAAAGGAGAGTTGACCAGACGGCTGCATTGCAAACTCTGCTTTCCAGAGTGAAAGTGATGTCGCGCCGGCACTACAGGTGGCGGAGACTGGCAAAAGCACTTCGAGCTTTTGCTGTACGGTTAGCGATCTCATCTTCTATTCCACAAGCGCTAATATAGCTGCCTAGATACTTGAATCCCGGAATAGATTCCAGCTGATCCCTACCAACAGTCAGCGAAAGGACGGGTCGGTGACAATGTTAGAGAAGGAATTGGTAATTCGAGGAAGCAAAACACAGCCCAGAATGATTGACAGCAAGTGCTATTCCCCCTAGTGCTGCACAGCACGTTTGGAAGCTGTCACAAATTAGGACAATGTCATCAGCAAACTCCAAGTTAAGGAGTACCATGCCTGGAAGCAACACCAAATCTTGTACAGTGTCCAGTGTATCCGGTTTCCGTGACTTCATCGATGTCGAAGTTAAGAGGAAAGGTGACGGTGGGCAACCTTGTTTCACACCGATGGGGATATTGAGGGGATGCGATTGTTTGTTTAGGTGTTGTTCACTGACGGACTCTGCAGTAGATAAGACGGAAGTAAATCGTAGAATCGAGCATTCTAAAATCGAATAATGAGCCACAGATTGTTGTACCGTACGTTTACCGCAGAGCTAATTATCAAGACATCGGCCGACGATCACTGACTTCCCTGGCTCCAGTTCCAGCTCAAACAATCTCCACCTGAGGAGTTCAAATAAAGTAGTAACTGATTGTGGATGAATAACACCGCACATCTAGAAATTTCAGGTACGACCCACGTGACACAACGAAATTACTGAGGTCTAGATTGAGGTATAGTTCGAATTGAGACTGCATGTTGTAGTTCAAACAGAAGGTATTGAAAAATGCCATAATGACATAACCGGAAAGTATCTGCATCCAGTCAAACTGGTATTTATGAGGTAGTAAGCAGGACCATCGGTGAGACCAAAGCACGAAAAATCCCGAAGTGTAGACTGGCAACCGTAAGCAACATGGTATCATAAAACTGTCAGAAAACGATGATTATCGTTTGCAGTCACAGGGCTGATCTTTAGATTAAAAACGTGTGGCGTTACGCGGGTGAGAGAAAAAACAAAAGTTTGTTTATAGCACTAAAGTTGGGTTAAAGGAGATAAAACGAGGCAACTGACAGCTCAAAAACAACTGATTGCTCACCCCAAATTCTGCATGGTGGGCTAGCATGCATTGGTCACTGAGCTCCAGACGAAAAGCTAAATGAGAGCAACGGGCGCAAGAATAGGTCACTTGCTGGTTATATCGATCCACGCTCTGAATACGACGCCGGGAATCAAGCAAAGGTATACATCGTGAACATCGAAGCACTTGCTCCGAAGATACATGTGTAGGGGAACAAGGTAGCCGAGTTGGGTGCGGTGAGCAATGCGAAGAGCGGGAGTGAGGTCCAGGAGAAAAAGTTGGCATACAGGAGGAAGTAGAAGCACTGGGTGTTTGACTGTTACTGCCAGATAAACAGGCAGGAGGAGGATGAGCCATTCCTGACCCAAATAAAACCGGTTGGTTCACCGGTGCGATTTGAAGGCATGCGAATGGAGAAACTAATTGAAATGCACTCCATAGGGCCGCTTCGACACAAGTGCTGGGAGGTGTAGTGAAATTCTTCACATCGGATAAGTGTCGCTCAGAGGAAGGACACTTCTTTGTAGTCCGGAGAACGCCAACAGAACGTGGAAGGCGTTTCGGATTACCTTGCCAAGAAGTGTCCGAAAAAATGAAGCGGCTGAGTGAATTAAGGTTTCGGGATGTTGTGATGTTGAGTGATACATGCAGCCCATCTTGGTGAAGTCGACAAAGGTCTTCAGCTGAACAGTGGTTCTGCAGTTTTTGGACGGTCGGCCTGAAAAGATACATGAAGGTGAGAGTTGAGAGTTGAAAACGCCATTGAATCTAGCTGAAATTGTAAACTTATTTGTATAAGTGGTGAAAATGAAATGCGATCCAGATTTGGATTGCCAAATCCGTTAACATAAATGGCGCTACAAATGAGATAAGCTAAGATAATCAAAAATCGAAACCCTACCAGTATTCAAAGTTGCTGTGCGGATTCACGGAGATGGCAAGGGAAGACCTGACCGTGATGTCCAACCACTGTTCTCCGCATGGACAATAACCTGCACGGCAGTGGAGGATGGGTCGGGCTATATCGCAGTTAGGTTTCAATTCGTAATGGTCGGCTGCCGTCCGCCATGGCTCAGGGGCATAAGCTGCTGGATAGTTGGCGTTAGCCTCTAGCGGTCATGGGTTCGATCCCCAGTAGGGGACCGATGAATGCGCACCACTGGCGAACCCCAATAGGGCGAAACGAGCGTCTGGTGCTTTCCCGGATTGGTAGCTTACGTATGCGGCTTGGAATCTAAGTGCGATGAACCAACTCGGAGATAAGATTATGCCCGTAAACTGGTTATCAGCAAATAAAAATCTCCGGAAGTAAAGATGATTGGTCAGCGGATCACCGTAGAAAATGAGTGTAAGGGACGGACATCGGTCGAGCAGTGGATGATTCCAAACATTCCAAACGATAGTCCCCAACCAGTCTAGATGAAATAGACAGCAAGCAAAGGAAGAAACGATTGACTGCACTTTCGGTATTTTGGGAGTTACCGGAAGTGAACTTCCAGTCAGTCAAAAGCGATTCAAATGACACGTTTAAGCCGAATCCGATCGGAATTCGGTTCACTTATGTTGTTCATCATAAACCACAGGGAACACTAGGAAACAATGCGAATGAGCAACCCGTGGGAGTAACACATGTAACACTATCAGTTTAACATGAAAAGCTGCACAAATGCCCACGTTACCGAAACCAAACACCACCTCCGATATGTCAAGAGAAGCGTAGCACAGCGTGCAGAGCCATAACTTCGCTGCGATTGATAATGATTGGTAGCACCGGTTTCGGGATGTGTCTGTCACTATGGTTATGAGCCAACATAGGGCGCATGTGTTTACAGAGGGAGATAGAGTAACTTAAGATCTATCAATAGCATACGCCACAGGCAGAGTGGGTGTGAAGGATTAAGGTCAGTAAGTACGCAGGATGGAATTGCTCTGTTTAGGACCCAGCCCATACTCCCTTAAGACGTCTACACATGGGAAGGTAAATCAGTGTGAAGGTATCTGAGAGCCATGATAAACCCAAGGTATGGTAAACCGTGATGCTTAAATAGTGCGGGTGCGAGTGAATCCAGTGGCTGCTCGGAAACAATTAAGGGCTGTGAAAGCGTTTCGGACCTCAGCCTCCGACGGAGCCTCTAAACTAATTGGCCATGACTCAGCCCACAACACGTGAGTAGGAAAGTGTCCAGGAACAGGAGGACAACTGAACTGCCCTTGAAAGCACTCCGCCCAACGAGCTATAAGGCGCTGCTTATTGGGAATCTGACAATCCGCTCTGTCTCTGATTGTCCCGCCAACGCCTGGTTATCTGGAACCAGCGGTGGGGATCAGGTAGAAGAGCTTGTGATAACTGCCAACTACTCTTGCTTCCATAGGCTTCGTAGTTAGCACGCAGAACCTGCTTTAGTTCGCGTCTAACAGTCCATCTGGTCAGATTGTGTCGAGTCAGCCGGGAGCTTTCTTCTGGATTCCAACAGGTTCACCGACCTCGCGGATATCCAGTGACTGTTGCAGTGACGCTTGATAGTGCTGCATGCGGAAGGTCTCGTATCGTGCATGGCTACCAGGACCCTACTCCACTGAAGCTCAATGTCATCAGGTCAAGAAAGAGAAAGTTCGGTGCGCAGGGCGTTCTGGTAGGCTTGTTTGACCGATGACTGAGAAAACTATTCCGTTGCCAATGGAGGGAGGTGCTTGGTATGCCTCCGGGTAAAGTTCATGGAAAAACGACAGTGTACCAAAGCTTGATCGGAGTCGACACAAGTACTTCAGAACGAGCAGCAATCCAAGAGGGAAGCACGCCACTTGAGACTTATGGCACTGTGATCTATTTGGGTCTATCGCTTGTCATATACAGGAGGGCGCCAAGTCGCACTTCGACGCCCACTGTATTTAAAAGCGGTGCTACTAAGAAACAGCCGGTGCTCGGCGCACAGTTGTAACAGACGGTCGCCGTTGTCCGTCTGCTCGGAGTGTAATCCATACTTATCACCTAGATCAGATTCTAAGGAGCTCAGACGACCTACTTGTGCATTCATATCCCATGCTATGATATCTGAATAGGTAGCATTGCGTAGTAGCGTGTTCAGTTCGTGGTAGAATGTGTCCTTGGGAGTATCAGAACTACAGTCGGTGGGAGCATAAGTGGAAACCACAAACAAACAGCGTTTAGTGCTACTTCGTGAATCAACCTTACTTGATGTTGTCTAATGAACTACATAAAAACGCCTGCTCATGGGAATCTAATAAACTAGCGAGCCTTGGAGGTGAGAATGATGGCTACCCCAGCTTGACCCATAAGTACCGCATCCTCGTCTCAGGATGCGTGCAACTAACAGCGAGAAGACAAGTAAGGTGCAGTTAGTTCAACAACCCGTGGGGACTACGGATTCCAGTTTCGGACACGCAACAAACGTCAATACCCAGAGTGTCCAACATGCGTGCAAGTGCAACCAGTTGACCTTGTTGTCGTGCAGTGCGAACATTGAACGCCACCAGGGAAACGGCACAGTGCGACCTTATAAGGAACTGTGCGGATAGACATCCAGTGGGTGGTGCGGGAAGATAGCTGCAGCTGGAATATTTGGTGGCATCGGAGCCGCTGTCAATTAGGATGTGAATCGTGAAAGGAAAGTTAGTAATGAGGGTGGTGAGGTAAGAGAAACAAAGGAAAAATGGAAGGCACCAACAGTGTCGTGTTTTCGCTTATCCGCCGTGCTATATGCACCAGATAGGGCAACCTTCGTAAGCTTGCGCGATGACGGATAAGGAATGTGGTGGAAATTCGAGGAAACAGTTATGGTTGCACGTGGGCTGAGATACTGCCAGGAGGAACAGTATGGGCTTTAACGAAAGCCTTGGCTCAAAAGCGTGCCCGTAAATCAGCGGGGAGGTGGCAATGATTGTTTTACAGAGACGGAAGCCATCCCACTTGAAACCCCCAACTTGGAGGACCAGGAGATTGAGCTTGTTTGACCTCTAAGCATTGACCAACTTGGTAGAAGGAGGTCTCAAGGGGAGTGAGGGTACCACCCAGTATAGCTCAATGGTCCGAATAGGTACGCAAATCATCGTACCACCTTAAGGTCCAGTCTCGTTGCGATGGAGCTGATAAGATTATGTGAACGGCAAAAGGTGTCTTGTTGAAACTTACAAGAACAAGGAAATAGACGACATCAAGCAAACAGAAACGTCAGACAGTAAAAAGTACACGATAGTCGATTACGAAAAATCCTTATTGTGGGAAAGAAACAAGTGAATAAATGGGGGATTACCCAGAAGCAGAGCGGCGTCGGTCAGCTCTCTCTAGCTCCGGTGAAGCCACATGAGGCGCTGTAACGATGTTACTTTTCAGTAGAGAAACTCCGTCAAGAGGTTGTGAAACAACAGAATAATCATGACCTGCAGCCTTCCTGCGCTGGGTCGACGGACTGTCTCTATTGCAAGCGGAGTGGTAAGCACAGTACTCACGCGCTTCGTTCACAGCCAGTGTATCTGCGAGGGTGGAGCGGGATTTTGGCGCTTTTCCAATGTCGGAGAGGATTTGTGGGCCAAGGCGACTGCGCATTCCGGGTGAATGGGATCCAGTTTGTTGGTGGACACTATTCTGACCTACAGTAAATAAGAGGAACGTACAGCCAAAGCGTTGCTGTAGTGAACGACACCGAGAAGCGTAAGTAGAAAAGCTACGATGAATTGAACTTCTGATCCGGAGTTAATTCGATAATATTAAATGAGGGAATTAAGAAATGGAAACAAATATAAAGAGGAGCACTAGTAGATAGCGAGTGACGATACTCAGTAAATTGCACAACTGTTCGGATCGATTCGCCAACGTAAATAAAGATGGTAAACCCACAGGAAGGATTCCTTTTTACAGCAGCAAGCGCAGTTGACAACGGAGTAAAAAAAGAAATAACAGTAAAGCGGGCTCGTGATTAACTCAAGGAGTCGTGTGAGAGGAAAACGGGAAATTCCGCAAAATATACAGAACCCAGACATCTGACTAGACTTGGTCGAAGCGACGACGGAGTATAAGCCTAATCGTGAGAAGCCAGACGTCTAAGATGATTGCAGTAACCACATTACCTGACCACACGGTAGGTAGACAAGAGACAATGCGGACACAGAGAAAATCTGTTAGTTATCAGTCCCAAAAAGCTCGACAGATGAGACCAGTTGAAGTACGCACCAACACTAATGTACGGGGTGAAAGAACGCGTAGCGACAGCAGGCAGGAAGTAAGCTATATAAAAATAAAAGCCATAAAAACCAACAGCCAGACAGGGGAATGACGATAAAAATTTAAGGGGATTTAAGCAAAACGGAACGCGGGGTTGAATAAGGGTGTAGAGTTCACAGCAACTTGTGATAAATGGTTCGGAAACGCCATAAAATGTTGAAACAGTCGGGACATATCTGCGATCATGCGCTATTTACATAGTATTGTAGTACCGATTCCGTCTTTCTAGACTTTATGAGCCTATAGTATTTAAGAATGGAATCAGAAATGTTATCGGATGGTGGATTTCCGAACACAACAAAAGTCGATTGCACAATCGTAAGTATACCTGTGGACGACATTCTGAAACCGCGACCATAAGAGAGAGAAAGTTAGATGCCACTAAGCGTTAATTAAGTCACATTAGGAGTTAACGCCGTGGTTCGGAACATGTGACGAGGGGGCGTGAAACTAAATTCAGGTGTGAAACGGGCACGCTTAAATGCTCTGTTGCATATACAGAGCAGACAAGGATTACCGGTGGAAGTCGCTTTTCACGACCTGTGTAAACTCAGACAAAAAGGAGCACTGATCTCCCAAGGTTGCCTATTAACCCTTATGGAGGAGCAAAGTCGAATCAAGTGTGTCACCAAGTAGTCAAGTACAGTCAAGTAACGCACAACTAATTTTCGAATGCGTGTAGTGCCGACACAGTGGTGATCTTCAATCGTTTGATCTGCAGTACCAGACAGGGAGAAAATAAGCTTCTTAACAGATGGGTTGGGCAGTCGATGATTCATTTTGACATCACCGTATCGCATGTGTGCTCAGAGACGAAGAAAACATGAATTTCGGTCTCAAGAGAGTGCACAGTGAGAGGAATTGCTACCAGTCGAAGTAATTAGACCAAGCGCTCAAATCGAGTAGGAATGAGACTACCAGTCTGAAGAGCGATCCAAGTAAGACATCAACGCACAATAAGACGTCACGGAAGTGTAAGTTGGAAAAAAAAAGCATTAGGCCCGATGGCCAGACTCACAAGGAAGTGAGGGGTAGGTACAACTTATGAGTGAGACCACAGCGTCTCATTAGGATAAGGTTTAAGTGAGTACCTGCGGCTTTCGTGGTTTCAAGATAAGTGAAGTAATGTGAGCGCAGTGCATGATGCGCCTACATTCCCAGTCAACTGCAGACGAATTATGGCTAGGTCGTAACATAACGGCATAGTCAGTTGACTTGAGGTATGTGACCGGTAAAATTACCATGAAAATTCGCCAGATGGATATCGGGTTTTACGCTGGGCAAACGCACCTGATACCTGTGGCATCTGCTGAACTCCGGCCTACCATCTGCCTTACTCCCTGTGTTTCCGTATGGTTTCATTAAACACACTCAGTTACAATTGCTTACTCCCAAATTGTACATACTTGCCCCAAAAGTTACACACATAGGCCGACAATGAGTTATAAGCGCCCCACATTTGCTTCGAGACATTACTCCCACCCACATGAAGTTTCTTTAAGAACCCAACGCATTGTATCTCTCTATGCGCTATACAGAGAACAAATTGGGTAGGGTTATGAGACCACATAAAGGGGCCGTGGGATTCCGCGCGCGGATTCTGTGGTTTGTAATCCTTCGGTGCAGTGACAAGTACGATGATATACATTTCTATGTGTCTTGAAGAGATCCAGTTATTTCTATACTGGACGGGTATTGTTGAGGGTATGTTCCAAATGCATTTTGATAGGGACTTTAATAGTACCGTAGTTAACTTCCGCATTGTTTTGGTTTGACCCGGGAGCGTTGCGAGTTGCTCGAATTCCAAGCGAATCTATCGCTAACGTGGGCGGCAGCAAACAGGTGAAAAGCAGCAGTGCCCTCCCCCCCCCACTATCTTAAAACATAAACAGTAGTGCTCGCGTTTAACGCGGGCTGAGTTGGTCCAATTACCTGTGCGTTATCGTACCTGACGACTTAGTTGTGAGGGAAGAGAGCCGTCGACGTTTTCCAGATTTAGAATGAGGTGGGGACTCAGATCGTTCGGATTTAACCACCAATTTGTCTGACATAAGTTAACTGAAAGGTATTTAACATGTGACACCACAGAGAAGCAGGAACCCCTGCTACACACCAAGAATCAGGTTCGTTGGGAAGAGTAAAGAACTATCAAGGGAAAAAGGATGATTGCACTGCTACAAACGGCAAAGCACAAATACATCGACAAGAAGCAGGACATTTAATAGATGAAATCTACCGTGCAGTTGTCACAGCGACAACTGATGATCACGTGCAACGGCCAATGTGAGAAGTAAATTATATTCACGAGGAGATGTATAACAGGACACTTGAAGCTCAGAGTCCCACTTAGAAATGATTCGGGGTCCAAATAAAGCATAAGCAACGTGATAAGGATTTGCAAGCTATCAAATTCTTCGGCTGTTCTCGAGGAACCACACCACGCACACACGACTGCAAAGTATTTTGGAGACATTAAAAACGATTGATGATGTAAGGTAGGTGGGATAAATTCAACTAAATCAGCTCAGTAAAAGAATGAGTGAAGGGGATAGAAGCTGTATAAGATGGCTGCTCATGGTACGGATATAGCTGGTTAAAAAGCAAGCGTGCTAGTAGACCCGCACCAGTTTTTCGTAATACACCTGGAGTGCCGCGATAAAATCGTTGAACAAGTGGGTGTGATCCGGAGTGATTGGAGGATGTGGAGCCATGTGAAGCAGAGCTGGATCCCACGCAGTCCGCGTCCGGAGACAACTCGTGTAATCTAGAGTGATCGGCGGCCAAATCGGGGAATGTGTGATCCCGAAGAGATGAAATCGTGTTGTTGTTTTCTGAAGAACCATACGGCTGAGTTCCTGTAGAACGGTGCCGAGGGAGGTTGGGTCCTCTCTCTGGTGAACAAGGAGGTGTAGTTGTCGAACGCCAACCAGAGATGTTCATACCGTGTTCGACGAGGGCGGCTTAAAGGATGGGAAGACAACACCGATGGCATCATAATGACTCGGGATTAAATAAAGCACAGTTTGGATTAAATGGCATAGGATCCAAGTAACGAAACTTAAGGTCATGATGTCGACTTTCTGGGAGCTGCTAGGTTGCATTAACAAGTCGCACCAAGTGGGTTGCGCAAGAAGTACTGTTTGCTAGATAGTACATATGTTTACTGAAAGCCAGTGTGCACTGGAAATGCGTGACGACCAACCCAATGTTAGAGTGACACTCCGTGGTTTTGGAAACACTGTTTATTTTGGCTAGACAAGTGAGTCTTGTTATCCATTCTCCCCAACATCGCTCCATCCGCCTCCGTCACAGATTGAAGTCTTGCCGTATGTCTATGGAAAACATGAGACCATGGGGTTGTATAAATGAACATCTCCTACGCTTTCTGCCTCCAACGCTCAAGATTTCATACCACAGTGCGCCCACGAAACATGGGGGCATTTGTAGGTTAGACAACAGATGCTACTTCACTGATTCGGTGAAATAACGCGCCTTATCGGTTTTCTTCCCCCCTTAGCATTTCGCGCTATCAAGTAGGAAGTAGGACGTACATTTCGACTGAATTCGCTTTCACGTACTATACGCGCATGTATTATGCATGTGCCGAACTACCCTCTTGTGGTGCCAGCAGGGTGGCTCATGATCTACTCGTTCCGGCAAAAGGTTCGGTGGCATTGCTCCAGGACGTGGTGGGTATTCGTCAGGCAAGCGTTCACCATATAAAAAGTCCGTTTAATAACACTGTGACATGGCAGATGTGACTTGCCACTAAATAAAATCACTGCCCATTGCTTCGTCTCGATGGAGCATTGTAATCCGTCAGTTAAACGCTAAATTAGTGGGAGTATTGGGCCCCTGTTTGGTAACCCGATAAACGAAAAGCGTATGAACCGAGAAATCGGTCAATGGCTCCCATTGGGCCCGATTCCCTGAATTCGCCCCACTGCCTTGCAGGTCAGGTCCCTATGACCGAAGGCTCCGGGTGGGGCCCTCTAAGTCAACCTTTCTCAGCCTGGGCAACCGGGAAGATGTATGCCCACACAACACACGATATGCTGGATTTACGATTCTGATCAGGATTCTCGCTTTCTGGACTATCTTTTTGGCCGAGGATGCTAAACTTCACTCTACCGCACCGAAAACAACCTTCTTGGTTCCACGCTTATGCAACCTTCCAGTTCTTGGCAACCCCTTCCATTTCTAGCCTCCAGCAGCGTATTGCGAATAGAAACGGCACTATCGGCCTCACTAATGAACTGCCCAAAATCAATCGCATAAAATCTAATTTCAACAGCAAGGCTTTTATTGCACCAGAGCTCGGAGCACAATGTGACCAGACGGACCATTAAGCGCGAAGTAAAGCAGAGACAGCTTGGTGACAAAGAAGCCTGGTGGACCAGTCGGCCTCAAAAAGGGGAGGAAGCAGGACCAGTAAGCAACTATCGCAAACCCTTCCAAATGATCAGCATCAGTGGTCACAGGAAACCAGGCGTCAGTGAAACAAGCAGAGACAGCGCGGGTGCCCTGCTTCACAATAAAGAACGCCGTATGGCTCGTTGGGAAAAGCACTTCCGAGAGCAGTTCGGTTGTCTCAACGCTCCTGAACGTCTTCCTGCTCAGGTGTTGCAGGGTGAGGTATGGCCAGTTAGTTTAGAGGCTCCGTCGGAGCCCGAGATCCGAAACGTGACCGAAGCCATCAATCATTTTCGTGTTTCTGGCCCGGATTCGCTCGCATCGGCAGTAGTTAAGGAAGATGATGAGGTCCACTGCAAAGCATTGGCCTCCCTATTCGAACAGGTTTGCAAGGCAGAGAGTATCCCAGATAACTGAAGTGAATCATTTATAGTGGCAATATACAATAAGGGCAGTCGCACAAACTGTTCTAACCACAAGGTAATAGCCTAACGCCAGTTGTGACAAAATTATTGGCATCGGTTCTCGTTCGTTGTCTCAATGTGGAACGGGAATCTCGGATTAGGGAAGAGCAGGCAGGTTTCCGCCCAAGATGTGGCTATATAGATCTTATATTCACTTTGCGGCAGGTGTCTGAGCAACGCCACATGTACCGCAGGGTTGTCCGATTTCCACATTTTTGTTCAATTTCATCATGGACTACATCATGGAATGTTCCCTTGCGGAACGTCACGATGCAGGCGCTGCCTGGTGAAATACTAGTTGACCTAGACTATGTGGACTATACTGTCTTGCGGTTTAACGATGTTGGGGCGGCACAATCAATCCTGAATTACCTCCCTAGAGTGATCCCATGATTTGGCATGCGCTTCGCACCTTCAAACTGCAAAGTTCTGCCGCAGGATAACCAGTCAGTTGTTGACCCCTTGACCATTGATGGCGAGGAACTCGAGGTAGTTGATCAATTCAACTACCTAAGGAGCTACATGAGCAACGATGGGCACACAAGCACTGAAAGCAGTTCACATATTGCGAAAGCTAGAACTGCCCTTTTGAACCTGCGGCATCTATGACGTCAGAAAAAGGTTTCCCTCCATCTAAAAGGTCGTGTATACATAGCCCCAAGGAGGCTGTAATATTCTATGGAAGCGAGAACTCGCCCCTCCCATTTGAGGACCCGCGGCGCCTTTAAGTCGTTGATCATTGTTGTCTGCGAAGCATTTGCTGGCGGTACTCGCAAGATAGGCAACAGCGAATGACTCATTCAACTGGGCGCCGACCAGGGCTTGTTCCTTACAAGCACCAATTTCCGGCGTTCTTGGCGTCAACGAGCAACTTGGAGACCTCCGGTGTCTGGTCAAACTTGGATGCTGATTGACCATATCCCTGTTAGTTAGCGTTGATGAGGCTGCATAACGGACTGTAAGTCCATTTAGAACACTTAGTTGACTTCGGATCATGAGCTCATGTGTGCTAAGATCGTTCTGCGCTTTGGATGCACCCAACAGAGTCGCCGGAAATCGTTTGACACAGACATGCTCGTCGCCGCAGAAATTCGCGGCGCATTTCAGAACATATTTGACGCCAATCTGCGTTCTCTATCCTTCGATGTTGAAACACACTGGGCACAGATTCAGAGCGCCTTACGTAAGTCTGTTACTCTGGTCTGTGGCTTCACAAGAGGAGCTGCAAGTCATTAGATCTCCGCACAGTCTCTTCAATTAATGGAAAGCCGTCGAACAATTCCCGCTGGAGTTGAGAACAACGCACTACGCAGAACCACAGGTGCTGAGCTCAAACACCCTATGAGAAAGGATCGCGAGTTCTGGTGGACACAACGCGTCGTTGAGATGGAGTGGATAGCCTCAACAGGTAACTCCTGCAAACTCTTCCAGCCTATTTGGTCCACGGGATGCAGAAGGCCAACAGTGAGTGAGCTTTTGCGTGAAAACGACGGCGAACAAATGCGCATTCGTCACCATCGTCTGGTACAATGGGCAGAGCAGATTGGAGATCAGTTCAACTGGCCACCAACACAACCGAGTGCATCTTCCGGTGCGTGGATGTTTCTCCAAGGACTAAGGCTGAGGTTTTCCATGAGCTTCTGCTATTAAAGCGCAACAAGTTGCCTGGCCTAGATGAACTTCCTCTTGCCCTCGTCAAATATGGGGGTCCTGCTCTTACGCGTGAACTGACCTCTCTCTCTCATCAGATTTGGACTACTGAAAACATCCCATAGGACTGGAAATTAGCGGACGTTGTACCTGTCTACAAAAAGGAGACCGGACCATTTGCTCCAACCATCTTGGCATCAGTCTTTTATTTGTGTCGCATTCAAACTGCTCGCTGCCCTACTCTTGCGGACGCTCAGTTGCGTACGAGAACAGCACCTGCGTGAACAACAAGTTAGATTTCGCCCGGGTCGCAGTTGAGTCGATCACATCTTTACGATCCGCCATAAACTTTGAACATCATCATAGTTTCAGTCAACCAATCATAGTCATATTCTTAGACATTCGAGCCCCATTTGCCTCTGTTGACAGAGTGGCTCTTTGGGAGTGCTTACTGAAATGAGGCGTATGTGAGAAGTACATCAGCATTCTCCGTGCTATTAACCATTAAAGTTCGGGCCGCGCGCGAGCATACGGAGAAATTTCGCCCCCTTTCAGTATCACGAACGGTGTTAGACAGGGTTGCCCAGCTTCTCCATTCTTGTTAAAATTCGCCAAGGACGAGGTCCTGGACACTGCCCTGGATAACTCTGAATCTTGCGGTGTTGAACTGCTCCCTGGTGACCGCCTTCGGGGCTTAGAGTATGCCTATGACATTGCTGTGATTTGCAAGTCCTCCTAAGTCGCCCAGCATGTACTGCTCAGACTACAGATGTCCGCCGCCCAATTTTGGTTGAGCTTTGCCCCTTTCAAATGTAATGTCCTGTTACAGGACTGGCCAAGCGCATGTCCTTCTCTCAACCTTTCGGGGGATCCGTTGGAAGTGGTCGATAAATTCATTTATCTTGGGAGTTGTCTTAGTATTGGCGGTTTGACAGATGAGATTACTCTGCGTGTCTCCAAGGTTAGAGTCGCTTTCGCCCACCTTTGTAACCTGTGGCTTCGTCGTGATCTCAGCCTCGCTCCCAAGGGATGAGTCTATAATGCTACGATACGAGTGATTCTGCTGTACGGCTGTGAGACTTGGCCCGTTCGCAAAAGCGATGTTCAACGGCTAGCTGTCTTCGATCACCGCTGTCTGCAAAGCATCGCTGGTGTTCGATGGCAGCATCATATAAGTAATGAGGAAATCCGTCAGTGAGTCTTCAAATCTAACAAACTCCGACGATCGATTGATAGCATCATTTCACTGCGGAAACTTCGCTGGCCTGGACATGTGTTTCGCAGCCTACCCAGCGGCCACCAGGTACCCTATTTGCGAGCGAAGGCGTGGGATGGAAGCGACGACAAGGAGGCCAGTGTAAAATTTGTATCCAATGTGTTAAGGCGCAAACGTCGAAGCTGGTTGTTGTTGGGAGTTTCCGACTCCCGGGTTGGGGACCAAAGGACCCCGAGTACATCTGGTTGCAAACGCTACTAGATATGGCCAAGGACCGCACGCAATGGTACACTTGCTGTGAGACTCTTTTTCTCTAACAGTTGTTTCCCCCTTTTAAGCTATTCTTGTATGTGTTGTGGCACTCAGCCAATTGTAATGTTTTTGGCAAAGTATATATATATATATATATATATATATATTTATTTATATTTATATATTTATATATATCTTACGCATGTAAGGTCTCTGAATGGTCATCGACAAAAGCGGACATAGTTCACAAGTGACTGCTTCTTGTCTGTGACAAGCGTTGCCCGTCGTGACCCGGTATCCAAAGGGGTAGAGGTTTCGGCTACTATTCCATTGGTCCCGGGTTTGAGGCCTGCAATCTCCACTTGAACAAATTAAACAAGATCAAAAAATGTCGTGTTGTGCAACGTTTCCGGGTGGGTAAGACCCAATTTCCATCTGACTGCAATGTGGTCTATTCGAAAGGAAGCTAGCGATGAAGGGAGACGGTTCGAAATTGTGCTCTGATCGGCATTAAATCTTGTCGCAAAATCGGATGAAATTACTAGTGGAAGCATTACTGGAAAAAGAACTACACTTGGTCTTGTAAAAAAAGCTTGCAGTTTGGGTTTGTTTGTACAATATGCTTAAGCCGATTTCGCCAGAGTGCGTTAAAAACACATGTCATTATTACAACTATAATTGACCGTGAATGCAAATGTGCCACACATATGAATCCGAAAACAACGTGACGATGGAAGAACGTCTACATGAATCCGAGAGTCAGGGACATTGCAATGATCCTTTTTTTGAAACAAGTCCCCCTTTGTTAGTATACCAATGAATAGCGCTAATTACCGCGTGAATGGTTAACTCCACATGCCATGACAGACAAAGTGGCCGCAGTTTTCAGAGTGTGCCACCGCGGGCAGACAGGAACTAAGACGAGGCCTGCAATTGCGAACGAAGCCTAGCTGCGAACAGAGTGTACACAAAATGTGAGAAGTTCAAGTAGCAAGGATAAAACGTACCAGGGAAAAGCCGCATGGAGGAATCCGTCAGACCATGTCCTGTGACCCAATCATGGTCCACATGAACCACGTGCTTCATGTTCACCGGAGGCGATATATCTGGGATACCTCCACGAGAAGACGTAAAGCGAGATCTGCTGACACCACTTCGATCATGAGGTGTGATAGTAATCGTATTGAGACCAGTGGAGGAGGCTGACTGGTTGGCAACGATAGTATTGTGCTGAGAAGTAGAAATTTTGCGATTTTTCGTTCCCGATTTTCCATACTGGTCGATGGAAACGAGTTCGTTGCCAGTAATGCCACCCCATCGGAACAAACTGCGAACAAAAGGGCGTTTTCTCGGTGGCGGTGGCTGCGGTATGTCCAATCGCTTTACGGGAGTGGGCAAATCCTTCAACTGGTTGGCAGCCAGAACAGCCAACAGAGTGAATTGATGCTGATTGTAGCGTGAAAGGAGGTGAAGAAAGACAAGAAGTGGTTTTAGTGACGCAAATTCCGAAGTTGGCAGGGTGTAAGGGCAATAGTTGGCAGTATCGCCTTTAGACTAATTAGGCGTATAGCGCAAACTGCATGCCTTTTTGACATTTGCGTGAAACTGCTCTAACAAAAGCTGAACTACGGTGCAAGTTAGGAAGATAAAATAAGGGTAGTGAGAAGGGAGAGGAAAGAACAAAGGATCGAAAAAGCAATGTAGTACTTCATGTTTAGTACACTGAATACGGGAGTGAAACCAGTTACAATTAAGGAGGAAGGTAACCAGCAACTTACCCCCATAGTGCCCACCAAACGAGTGTAATGCTCTTCCTTCATGTCAATCTCCAGCTCACGTGCGGCTAACTGTTGCCACTGTTGATCCAGTGACTCCCAGCTGCGCTGCAGAAGTTCCTTCTGAACCGACAAATTATCATCCATGTCGGTGGATGATGTGCACTGGCTCTCATCAGTTACATTGGAGGATAGAGTCGCTGCTTCAGCCTAGAAATAGGAGATATGAGCAAACAACTCAGACCACCTGAGAGTTGAAGCAGCAAAGGAACTGTCGCAACAAGGGGCCAAAAAACAACCACTCAGCAGAAGGACGAGTTTCATTCATAGATGCAACTTAGCATGGGGTCCAAGCCTGCACCAATAACCGTACAACGGCCGAAAGTTAGAAAAGTTAAAGTAAGGGGCGAAAAAATTTGACTATTGTAACCGGGTGCAATGTGTAGAAAACAAAAGCAAAATGCTTATTTTCTTCAGGTCAAATATAAATGAGTTGTTGAGGCAATGCGTGAAACTTTGCTGAATTTCTGAGAATATGTATAATAACCCGGGAACTCTAATGGAACGGTTAGATGCTACCTACAAATAAGCTCATGTTGTAGGATCAACCTGTGGCCGAGTGGTTCAGACGTCTGGATTGCAATTCACAGGTCACCGATGCATACCTGCACAGATGCGAATGACCTAACAGTTTTCTTTAGCCATAGTAGATGAGCTGCGGCCGCGTGGAAGCGAAGTATGGGAACGGTGCTTTATTTCCCCTAGCATAAGAATCCGTCCTTTACCCGTTTCAGAAAACAGTAGCTAACACATTTTATCCCCGCATGTTCGAGGACGAAATACCAGCGGAGTTAGGAGACGGTACATAAAAGTCCCAAGGCCGAGATCACTGAGGTGTGAGACCAAATGAGAAAAAAGACACATGTTCTAAGTTGATCTGGGGAACTCGGTGTGTGGTTGGGTTGCGACACGCAACCTCTACTGAGACCTCGGACAACTTTGAGGTAGAGCTCGGTCATGCCGATCGCAAAGACTGTACCCAAAATGGATATGTTTCGGTGTTGCTCCTCCCAACACTGGCACATGTTCATAACAGATTCAGAACAGATCCAAGCGCGATGGGCCCAGTTACCATGAATCACGTTGAAATAACCGTAAAATAAAAAACCATAAGGGGAAAAAACCGAATGGGAAAACGCAAATTCATGGGAGATGAGGTCTTGAGACAAAAGATGAAAGTACTCAGTAAAAAAACAACGATAAGAAGCAACAAAGAATGGAGTCTACCACAGCACACATGGGAAAGTGCATCGGTCACCTGCACGCAGGCTGCGGTGTGTGCCATCAGGCGCACGACATGAACATTTGCCACTGAGAGCCAGTGTATTATACATCCCATGCCGTACTTACCATCATCATCATCAACAGCAGTACATAAGCCACTTGAATTAGTGCTTCGTTGCTGTACAACCACGGTGATCAACGGAACGAAGATAAATAAAAGGGAGAGAAGGGGACCTACGGCAAAACCTTAATGCCCTAAACAAACACTCCGGGTCAAGGCGCCTACACCTTGCCTATAACATACCAGCGTAATTCGGCCGGTGGTCGAGTGGTCTGCACGCCTGACTTGTAATCCTGAGGTTACCGGTTCGAATGCTCGTACGGAAGGGCGTTCTCGCGGTATACTCAACATACGCGCGGCTGGTGGTGGTCGCGCGGCAGCGAATCTTCCTTACGACGTACAGCTAACACATTATAATTATTATAATTACAATAATAATTATTATTATTTACATACGAGCACAAACAGCAAGCAATTGCGCAAAAATAAGGTGGCATCGGCGAGACAGCTTCCGTGCGGATTTCACTGCACCGCGTCATAATCAGACATTACCTTGCAGATAACAGCACCAAACACACTTTAAACAGGCAGTAAGACAAGGACACGACGGCAGGCACACCACTGGTATCGACTGCGAGCCATGTCCTGTAAAGTCTCAGACCAAGCACAAGCCGAGTCACATGGACTCCAGTCCGGAAGGATCAACGGCACCCAGTTTGGTCGTCAGTGACTTCATTTCCCGCTGCCAAATCATCTTCTGTCTACCTCGAGCTTTGCGCCACCCTACACCTGGCAGACTAAACAAGGCCCTCCTAGGTAAGCGGTGACCAGGTATCCGTAGCAAGTGCCCAAGCCAACGCAACTTATTCAGTGCTATCTGTTGCTCCAATGTGCTAGCATGATTATCACAACCTAAGTCGCTGGGAGCATAAGCGGAAATCACAAACAAATAGCGTTTTGTATTACTTCGTAAATCCACCTTAGCTGATGTGGTCAAACGGACGGCGCATAAACGGCTGTTCACCGGAATCCAATCAACCAAGGATGGCTCAGCATTTGAGCTGAGAATGATACCTACACCAGCTTGACCCGTGAGTGCCGCATCGACGTCTCCGGATGCGTGCAACCAATAACGAGAGGATAAGCCGAGTGCAGTTAATTCAACAACCTAATTAGGGTCATTGATCCTAGTTTCGGACACACAACACACATCAATACCCAGTGTGTCCAAGGTACGTGCGAGTGCAGGCATTTGACCTATTTGTCTTAGAGAGCGAACGCTGAACCTCGCCATGGGTACTGGACAGCTGGCCTTATAAGGGACTGTTGCCGATAGGCGTTGTAAGAAAGTGGCTGCAGATGGTTCTACTTCAGTGGCACTTCGGTTGTTGTCAATTAAATTGGGAATCATAGAAGGAAGATTAGTAATGGGGGGGGGGGTCGGATTGGGAGTAAGAGAAACAGGTGGAAAAGAAAGGTGCCAGCAATAGCATGTTTTCGCTTATCCGCCCTGCTGTATGCCGCAGATAAGGTGATCCTTGATAATCTGCGCGACGGCCAATGCAGGATGAAGTTTATGTTTAAAGAAAAGGTTATGGTTGTATGTGGGCAGAGATACTGCCAGGGTGACCAGACCTAGACAGGAGGACGATTAGGGTCCTCAAGCAAAGCCTTTGGTTTAAAAGTCTGTTCGCAAGGCAGCGGGTAGGTGACAATGATTTAGTTTTACAGAAATGGACGCCATCCCATTTCAAACCCCTAACCTGGATGACCAGGAGACTGAGTTTGTCTGACCTGGTAGGAGTATCTCTCAAGGTGCCCTGAGACACTACCCAGTACAGCTCAATGGATCAAAGAGGTACGCCAACCGTCGCAACATGTTAAGGTCCAGTCTCGTTGTGACGTAGGAACTACGGGGCGGGGAAAAGTTTGTGAGACGTCACAAAGAATAGTCCCCTCAGATGAAGCTAGTGGAACTTCGCGTAGTTTCAAAGTGGTGTTGCGTCGTAGCTTGTCTATGTCGGGATCAGCTTGTTGAGCGGCAGCCATGGTGGCTAGGTCGATGTTGGTGCCAGGCGATAGGCTGATCTGATTAATGTGTGAAAGAGCATCCGCGAAGGGATTGAGAGCACCTGCGACATGTCCTGCGTCTGTCGTAAACTGAGAAACGTAGTCTAGGTGTCTAGTTTCCCGCGGAGAATACTTGTCTGTTGCGCCACTGATTGCGTAGATCAATGGTTTGTAGTCAGTGAAGACTGTAAAATGTTGACCATCGAGGTAATGACGGAAATGTCTGATACCTAGGTAGACAGCGAGTAGCTCCCTCCCGAAGGTACTGTAACGCGATTCGGAAGGTTGTAAACGTTTCGAGAAGTAACCTAATATCCATCGATGGTCGATGAGTTGTTGAAAAACTGCACCGACAGCAGTGTCTGATGCGTCAGTTGTCAAGAAGAGTGGTGCTGATGGGTCTGGGTGGGCGAGAAGCGCTTTGTTGGAGATAGCGTCTTTGAGCATCTTGAAAGACAGTCGTTTGGAAAATGAAAGGACCGTTGGTTACCGCGGAGCAAGTCAGTCATTGGTTGCATTATGCTCGCGCAGTTGGGAATAAAACGCCCGTAGTAATTGAAAAGGAAAAGAAATCGGCGTAGCTGTTTGAAGGAAGTAGGAGCAGGATAATTCTTCAGTGCCTGGATTTTGTCTGGCAGAGCTTCAATGCCAGAGGAGGATATTCCGCGGCCAAGGTTAATGGAGCTTTGGCCAAGTTCGCATTTGTCGGTGTTGACAGTAACACCATGTTGCGTCAAGCGTTGAAAGAGAGCGTCGAGGTGATGAAGATGTTCATCGTCAGAAGAGCTGGCGACGAGTATGTCATCTGGATAATAATAAACACCTTGGAGTCCTTGTGTTACCTCATGAATGAAACGGTGAAAAGTTTGAGCAGCGTTGCTGAGGCGAAACGGCATTCTGAGGTACTCGAATAGATCAAACGGCGTGATGACTGCTGTTTTAGCTATATCGTCTGGCGCTACAGGTATTTGGTGGTAGGCGCGAACTAGGTCGATTTTGCCAAAGATCGGCTTACCAGCTAGAACTGAGGTTAAGTCGCGCATGTGAGGAATGGGGTATTTATCCGGGACGGTAACTTTGTCAAGTACCCTGTAGCCACCACAGGGGCGCCAGTCACCGGATTTCCTCGACACCATGTGTAAAGGTTGATGCCCATGGACTTTTTGACGGGTGGATTATTCACAGTTCCAGCATTTGCTCGAATTCCATCTTAGTATCTTTGAGCTTGTGCAGGGCTAGTCTGTGAGGGTGGGCCGAAACAGGTGGACCTTTAGTGCAAATGTGATGCATGACGTTTGACGTCACAGGAGGCATGTCGTTCGGAACGCGAACGAGTTTAGGATGCTTGTTGAAAAAGTCTATAAAAGGCTGTGAAGCTTGAGGTAGGACACGAATTGGAGCGATAGCAGCCACGTTGACGCTAGTCCCGATAACACTGTGCTGTGTCTTAGAGTCAATAAGCTTCTTCTTTTTAGTATCGGCGATAAGGTCGAAGGGTTGAAGAAAGTCTATGCCTATGATGGTGAAAGGCACGGGTGATACTATGAAAGGCTAGCGAAAAGTTTGCCGGACGGCTAGATTGAGAGTTTGCAGCCTTTCACCGAAAGTTGCGATTAGTGTGCCATTGGCCGGCGAGGATGAGACGACCTCATCTGAGCTACGGGGTATAATGCTAACTTCGGCTCCAGTGTCGACTAGGAACTCGGTAACAGAAGTTAAATCCCTAACGCGGATGGGGCGACTTTGGTGTTGGCCGGTCGCGTCCGAGAAGTTTCCCTGCTTCTCGGCGAAGATG